GGTGGCTTCCTGTGGAACCCTCCTCTTGGTTAGGTTAGACAAGCTTTAGTGTTCCTAGTTAATGTGAGTAAGTGTTGTTCCTGGCCTGTATCCCGGCTATTCTTTGGTTATGGTCCAGGTCGAGATTCCCAACCTCCCCAGTTTGTTTTGGTCCCCTTTTATCTCGACTGGGTCAGCTTTACATTTTCCCATGCCCGGATAATATTTTATCCTTTTTCCCACTCCCTTAGCGAGAGCGCTTCTTGATTCTGCCCCTTGGGCAGAATACAGCGGCCTCTCTGTTTTGAGGGTTGGACGGGCCCTACTAACATATGTTATGTTTAGTTTGCATTTTGTGTGTATTTTTAGTTATTATTAGGTTCATCTCCCTCCCCTTGCATTCTATCATTCTTAGAATTTTATGTATATCCTTTATGTATCATCAAATTTTTATGGATTGGGGCGCGTTTTGATAGGTTCCCCTGGAGAGGATGTGGTATTATGGTGGTTGGAGGATTGAATGGTGATGGACAAGTTCTTTTGGTGAATGGGTTAATTGTAACGTATGAATGGGTCGTGAATCTGTGAAGACCAGCCTCTACTCCCTCCCCTTTCGGCCTTGTGCCACAATTTGTATATATTACAAAATAAATACCTAGTTACATTCATGTGGTGAACTTGGGCGCAGATCTGCGCAGGGAAGAGGTCCGTCGAGGTGGCGATCGTTTCATTCGTGAAGTCAAGTCCCCGGAGGGCATACTTTTCAGGCCACTGATGGCATGTGCGTGCGTTTCGGCGCCATTTCGAACGCCGGTTTACCAAGGAGCCTGGTCTCCGTGAGGAGGAGTTTCGCAGCTATTTGGCTGACTTTCTCGGCTTTCGCCGACTGAAGCGGCTAGCTGCGAGGGAGAGATTACGGAGGGCGAAGTCTACGTGGTTTTGAAGAAGGTCGGCAGAGGCAAGTCGCCCGGTCTGGATGGTTTGCCCTATAGATTGTACTTGAGGCTGTCGCACATCTTTGTTCCGATTTTGACAGCAGTGTTCAACAACTGGTTTCGGTCGGGGTCCATCCCAATCGGATTACCAGGGCGTGATCACTCTGTTGAAAAAAGGGCAAAGGTGGTGGGGGAACCTAGATGATTACAGGCCCATAACTCTGCTAAACACAGAGTTAAAGATTATGGCCAAGATCCTGCAGGAGCGTTTGCAGTCAGTTGCCGAGTCTCTGTTGGGACCTGAGCAGACTTGTTCTGTGAGGGGCGAACAATTCAGAGCAACCTGCATCTGATCCGCACGATCATAGAGGTGTAAAAGACGACGAAGAAGCCGCGCTGATCAATTTGGATCAGTCAAGGCATTTGATAGGGTTGACCATCGCTACCTTGCTACTGTCCTGCAGGCCGCTGGATTCGAAGCCAACTTCTGCCGCTGGATTAGCCTCCTGTATCGCTCCCCAGTGCTGTGGTACAGGTGAACGGAAGGTTGTCGGACGCTTTCGTGCTGTCTAGGTCGGTTCGTCAGGGTTGTCCGCTGTCGCCTCTCCTTTATGCTTTGGCGTTGGAGCCTCTCCTTCGCCGGCTGAAGGACGAGACCGGCAGTCCGGCCCTACGTGGAATTGCCGTGCCTGGAGGGTCTCGAGCCAGGGTTTCCGCGTACGCCGATGACGTATCTGCTTTCGTGTCGTCCCGCAGCGACATTGAGGCGGTACAGAAGGCGCTTGATCGGTACGAGAAGGTGACAGGGGCCAAGATAAACCGCGACAAGTCGTCCGGCTTGCGGTTAGGTGCCTGGAAGGGGGTCGATCTTCCGGGCCGCTTCGGTTGGACGGACGGTCCTGTCCGCATTCTTGGAGTGTGGTTTGGGCCCGACCTCCAGCTGGAGAAGAATTGGTCTGAAGTACGTGCAAAGGTCGATTATGCCGGTCAGACTTGGAATCGACGGCGGTTGTCCGTGAAGGGCAGGGCGGAGGTGTGTGTTACATACATTTTCCCCCTGATTCTTTATCGGTTGTCCGTACTTCCTCTCTGTAAAGACCGCAGGAAGGTGCTCGAGCGATCGCTATCCTCCATTTTATGGAGGGGACGCGTGAACAGGGTCGACAGACGAGTCTGCACCAAACGTCCGTGTCATGGGGGCTGGGAATGCCGCACCTTATGAGTCACATCCGTGCCTCTGGGTTGGCTTTCCTACGCCGCGCATTGACTAGGGGAGATCCGATTCTGGAGGGGATTGTTAGGGACGCCTTCCCTAGCCTTACTATCAGTCCCCCCATCTCGAGGGCCGAAGCGCCGTTGTAGGCTCCGGGATGAGTCGGATTTCATCCACGAGTGTCAGTTGGCCTTGAGGGCCATTCCCCGGTCCAGTGACCTTTCACGGCCTAGGAAGGTCTTCGTATTTAGTCGCGTAAACTTAGTGGGAGGAGGAGTCGCTCCTATTGGTCTTGAAAAGCGGCGGGATAGTAACCCTGAGTTTTCGCTTACCTGGCGATTGGCTCGAATCGGCTGCCTCTCAATGACAAGGCTTTCATATGGGGTTTGGCGGATTTTTTTTTTTTGAACGGTGTGGTCTTGGTTTGGAAGAAACGGCTGCGCAGTTACCATTGCCCCCATGTCCGCCCCTTATGGGACCAGGCGAGCTGACGGCTCGTCTCGCTCCCGAACAACTAGTGTCCATGGATCGCGCATACGCGTGTGACAATTGTCGCCCCCCGTATTCGGGGAGAAACGAATGGTGTTTCTGATGCTGATGGCCACGGCTCGAATGGTGATTTGGACGACGCGAATGGAGGAAGTCTTGCGGGGCATGTCTTTCTTATCAGCATCTAATCCAAAAGCATCAGCTCAAGATGAAGATTAGATCTGATAGAAAAACGATGCATTCGACAGTCTTCAGCGAAAGGTGGGTAAAAAGGCAAGCCTGGTTCGTGTGACCGGGGCTAAGCTCAACCTATAGCACATCAGGGGTGGCTTCCTGTGGAACCCTCCCCTTGGTTTTTTAGATTTCAGTGTTGTTAATGTGAGTAAGTGTTGTTCCTGGCCTGTATCCCGCTGCTCTTTGGTTATGGTCAAGTCGAGATTCCCAACCTCCCCAGTTTGTTTTGGTCCTCTTTTTATCTTGACTGGGTCAGTTTTATATTACCCATTCCGGCATAATATTTTATCCTTTCCCACTCCCAAGCGAGAGCCTTCTTGATTTTGCCCTTTGGGCAGAATACAGGGCCTCTTTTTTGAGGGTTGGACGGTCCCTACTAACATATGTTATGTTTAGTTTGAATGTTGTGTTTATTTTAGTTATTATTGGGTTCATCTCCTTTTGCATCCTATCATGATTAGATTTTATAGTAGTTTTTTATGTATCATCAAATTTTTATGGAGTTTGGGGCGTTTTGGTAGGTCCCCTTGTTGAATCTGGTATTATGGTGCATGAAGGATTGAGTTGGGATTCTTGTGGTGAATGGGTTAATTGTAAGGTATGAATGGGTCGTATTAGCTAGGTATAAGGGTCACCAGCCTCTCCCTCCCTTTTCGACCTGGGAAAAATATCCTGACCAACAGATTCCACAGAGCAGTGGTTCGTAAAGAAGGTTTGAGTTTTTCTCGGTTTGGTTTGTTTTACAATCAACCTCAATGATTATTTAATGACAAGATATTTATTGCTGGTTTTTTTTCTTCAAATAAGTATTACAGGTTTAAAAAATCTTTTTACACAGGACGTTTTTGATTTGTAGTTTATAACTTTTTCTTTGGTATCCCAACAGGACCATCCAGGGTCAGGATGTACACCAGTTTTCTTTCTTCATCAAAACCTCCTGATCAAGGACCTTGATGTAGTTTATCTTCTTAAGGACGCATGGACTTCTTACCGATGGACGTCTCACCGATGGAATACAGGGGTAATGTGGGTTGTTTGGTGCAATGTAAGTGATAATCATATTATTAATGCTGTTGAGGTATAGATGGTTTTATAAAGTCAATTAATAAGTAATTTCCGGTTGAGATAAAGTAAGTAATTATATTGACGAATGCATCAACATTGCTAACCGCCCCAGAAATATATCATAACAGGTGATGAAAAATGAGTTCCATACGACAATGTTTCAAACAAAAGACAGTGCACTGACGAGAAGAAATCTCTACAAACTATGCAAAAAGCTAAGCTCTATAGAAGAGAAGGTAATGTGAGTGTAGTGGGAACGTTTGAGCATTATTCATTTACAGTTCTTAAAACACAATGAAATACTAAATGCTCATTTATATGACCACACATTCCGCTTAGTCTTTTAAAAAGAAGTAGAGTTTTATCCTTTGTCTCCTTTTCAGGATTGGGTCTCCTATTGCATCTACAGAAAACATGATGAGATAGATAGATAGATAGATAGATAGATAGATAGATAGATAGATAGATAGATATGAAAAGGCTTAGATAGATAGATAGATAGATAGATAGATAGATAGGTTGAGTCTAACAATAAATCATTAGTGGCAATAGTTAGATAGATAGATAGATAGATAGATAGATAGATAGATAGATATGAAAAGGCTTAGATAGATAGATAGATAGATAGATAGATAGATAGATAGATAGATAGATAGATTAGGTTGAGTCTAACAATAAATCATTAGTGGCAATAGTTAGTTAGATAGATAGATAGATAGATAGATAGATAGATACAATAAATCAATATTAGCTTAGAATAGATAGATAGATAGATATGATAATATGAAAAGGCTTAGATAGATAGATAGATAGATAGATAGATAGATTGATAACGATAAATCAGATAGATAGATAGATAGATTAGATAGATAGATAGATAATAGATAGATATGAAAGGCAATATAATAGATCATTAGATAGATAATAGATAGATAGATAGATAGATTAGGTTGAGTCTAACAATAAATCATTAGTGGCAATAGTTAGTTAGATAGATAGATAGATAGATAGATAGATATGAAAAGGCTTAGATAGATAGATAGATAGATAGATAGATAGATAGATAGATAGACTAACATACAGGATTGCGGCCATATCACGTTAAAACATAAGTTCCCGTACGATCACTGAAGTTAAGCAACATCGAGTCTGGCCAGTGCCTAGGTGGATGACCACTTGGGAATATCAGGAGCTGTAAGCTTGGATGTGCAGGTGGTGTGATAAATAATGGTTTGGAATTGATAATGAAGAGTTCTAATTCCAATTCACTTATTTTCACTTACGCGTAAATACCCTTAGGAAATATATGAATCCACCACTTCTCCCCCATCTATTGGTTAATTTGTAAGGCTAATTATTATCCGAACCCCAAAAAGAATTCTTTCACTTAAAATAATTTCTGGCTTTAAGTAACCTGCAAAGAGTTCATAATCCGTAAATCAATTAATCAATCAAACTAACATACGAGAAAAGACGATGGATTAAAAAGGACATCTCTTCACAAATCAGCCCCAAAATTTGATCTCCATGGAAGAAAAATAATATTGTGTGTGAAGTGAAATCATAAAAAAATTTATATGTGCATTTATCTGTCCATTCATTCCGCCCCGGTTTTTTGAACAGGAGTAGAGTTTTATCCCTTGTCCCCTGTTCCGGACTAGATCTTCTGTTGCCTTCTAAAATCAACTTCAACTCTATACTTCTAACGTCACCGCCTGAACGCTGAAAATTTTATTTACTAATTATTTTTCTGTCTCCTCGATAGTAGAAGATAGGTTCGCTTATTTTCAGGTTCCCCTTTCTCCCCAGTCATTTGAACAGGAATAGATTTTTATCTTTTTTTTTCTGTTTAGGATTAGATTTCCGGTTCCTTCTTTTCACACTCTCTCACTCCCAGTAGCGACTTGCGTCTTAGTGACTTTATTCTCTTGCGTTGAATTGATTAAAAAAAAAGGAAAACAATCAGCTATACGTTCGTCAGTAGGGAAAATATTGTTTTCCTCCGTCACAACACGTGGTTGATAAAGAATGAACATCACAGGAAACAATTTTGGAATACGGTTAGTCTGTGCTAGCCGACCCGCCATATTCCACTGACCTAGCACCAACCGATTATTACCTTTTTCAATCGCTGCAAAACGCTTTCATGGGAACATTTGTCTAATGAAGAGTTCAAGTTCATCGAAAATATTTATGCAGGAAAAAATGAGGAGTTTTACTCAAAAAGTTTTGAAGCGCTTCCTGATAAGTGGTCACAAGTCATTGCAAATTAGAGTGAATATCAGTCAGTTATGTGCCATGTGATACACGCTTAGGCGATCATGTATCTTGCGATCATGTATCTTTCGAGGCTGTAAACCAGTTCCAAGGCATTAGAACCCGGTCTGTCCTGCTATTTACCCATAGCTGGGAGGAGAAGAAGAGGATTCATACCTTTTCCAAGTGTATTAGCACGTGATGAATGTAATGGATTCGACTCGGCTCTCAGATTTCTCAATCCGGGCCGCTATCCACTACTCCACTGTACATGAATATACAGTGGAATAAAATGTAATTTTACTTTATTTTTGGACAATAAGTTGGTAGACAAAAAATAGAAAATGTTTATGATTCACGCACACAAACACGCATACGCTGAAGCAAATATAAGTAAAAAAAATGATAATAGTTTGAATGCTCTGAATATTGCTGCCTTAAGAGGTTCTTGATAAAATACGAAGAATCTGCAATGGTATTGGTCAATGCCTGGAATCACGACTTCAGTTATTTTCCTAAAAGCCGTAGCGTAGCTCCACTTTGACTCTTCTATAAATAATTTCACGTTTTGTACTCTCAAACTTTTATCAATGAATTAAGTACAGTTTTAAACATGATATGTGTAAATAAAACAAAAGAATCTAATAAAGATGACACTAAAACAGACTACCCCAGTGAGCGAAATATAGGGTTCAGTTCGACATTCCAACCAACTGAAGGCCGGAGCGTGCAACAGACGAAACGTTGTAATAAATATGGCGACAAAGATGAGGACAATAGTCCGAATTATGTTAATGGTGTATATAATGCCTTATCTCAGAAATATACACAGATACTGAAGGGCCAAAACTTTGTAATAAATATGGCGACAAAGATGAGGACAATAGTCCGAATTATGTAAATAGTGTACATAATACTTCATCTCAGAAATATAGACAGATAGTGAAAGGCCGAAACGTTGTAATAAATATGGCAACAAAGATGAGGACAATAGTCCGAATAATTAAATAGTGTACATAATATCTCATCTCAGAAATATAAACAGATACTGAGTTGACACTGTATTTACATGATGAGCAGGGCTCCTTGTAAAATGACTGAAATCAATATTTTTAGATTCTAACACACGTTATGAACAAAGTAATGTTTCATGAATTCTAATTATACAAAGTCGGTTCCATTACATTTAATTACATGCTAATACCCTTGGGAAAATTATGAACCCTCTTTAATCTCCCCCCAGGGTAGATAGCAGGACAAACTGAGTTCTATAACGTTGGATGGCAAACAGTCTAGAAGAAGGAAAAGCTCTGAATTAAAAACCGGCCTGGACAGGTTTGGGCTCCGTCAAGTTATCATATTCAAGAAACACCACTTCTACAGTACACATCGTGTCCCTACGATCCTCCGGCTTACGGGGGAAAAAAATACAAATATTGTTAGAAGTATTTGCTCTGTTTTTTTACGAGCAGACCAGTTAATCTCAGTCGTGCCAAGCATTCTGGGAAATATTTATATATATAAAAAAAAATCGAAAATAGTTTTGATGCTGTTTAATGTATGAATTAATAATAATAATAATAATATTTTGGAGTCGTAGACAGGATGAACGTAAATGCATCAAATACCCTTCAGATTAAATTTCCCTCTATTCCTTTTAAAACTGATAGAGTAAAGACGATAGTCAGTGATGGCGTTGCAAAAATAGACATAAATGCTCAGAGAAAGATCCAATATAATCTGTAAGAATAAAGAAAAGAAAGAAAAAAAAAAGAAAGATTCGAAATGAGGCTTTGAGCAACAAAAAAAAATCCGAACCAAAAATAGACAGCCAGCAAAAGAAGAAAAAAAAAAAAACAACGAAAAGAAAAAAAATTAGCGAAATGAGTAATAATGACACAAAATGAAAGAAAGCATTAAGGTCAAGTCGGTGCAAAGCCATCCATTTTAACGCATCTAATACTTTATGACGACAGAGCAAACATGGCTGGTCTAATCAGTCGATTTAATCGCCGCCATTTTCACTCGTACATTCAACCCCACAACTCTAACTAAATAACACCCAAGCCCTCATCACAGCTAACTTCTTTATCTATACTTCTGCTACCACTTTGGTATGCCATTCTCCCGGCCTTCACCCCCACCTACAGCCATTAATACTTCGCGGGTCTTTTTACTTATCAAATTTTCTTTGTTCTCAACGAACAGAACCGTTAATTTTGCCATCTCTCTTTATCTGTTCAAAACATTTTGTTTATATACCGTGTTCATTCAGGACATGGGCGATCGTCACTCTCCACAATTTTCTATTCTTTGTATTACTAAGCAATATTTCTCCCTTTACTATCCTTACAACGGATTCGCTGCGTAATAGCAATAGCCATCCAGTTCAGGTTAATAATAATTTCCAAGGGGGTCAAAATCGTTTTATTTTATTTTATTCTTTTTTTTAAGCGTTTTCACTCAAGGCGGGAAGCCACTAGCACGCGAGGTGTTACAGAGAGTTGGAGCGAGAGCAAAGAGGAGTGACTGAGTAAAGGATGAAGAGAAACATAGGGGATAGAACAAGGCATCTGGAGACGTCGATTGACATTACATTTGAATAGTTGGAGATTATAGCTATCAGGGAAACAGGAAAAGGGCAGGGAGTTCCACAGGCGAGAAGTGCGATTCATGAAGCTATTGGAGTAGAAGAGACGGCTACATTTAACAGTTTCGACAGTGAAAGGGTGAGAGCGAGATGCCAGCCTAGTTGAACGTTTAAATTCACGAAGTCTGGGAACCAGCGAAAGCAGCTCATCGGAGCAGTTACCATGAAAGTATTTCTAAAAAAAAGTACGTCTGTGAGAGAGCGACTGCAGACGAGATGCCAGATCAGGACCAATTACATTGCATATCCTTCTCTGGATCTTATCAATAACCTTGAAGCAAACATAAGGGACACCAGACCATATATGGCAGTAATACTCCATGCAAGGGCGAATGGTTGATTTGTATATTTGAAGGATCGACTCCGGCGAGAAAAATTTCCTCGGGCGGCACAGGGAGCCAAATTTCCTTGCGGTGGACGAAGCTATAGACTCAATGTATTTGTTCCATTTCAGGTCAGCAGTGAGACCGAGTAAACGCAAAGAGGAGCTCTAATAAATTAATATTTTTTTCAAAAAGAGGATAACAGGACGAAGAAAAAATTTTTTCACTTCTTTGGACATTTTAAGAAAATTTTAAGAAATAAATTTTTTTAAAATGTCTAAATATCCGGACCAAACATAAGATCAATCCACGGAGCATCTGGGTCTATTGATTTTCTGAGACGACACAGAGTACAAAACATATTCGTGTTGCCTCTTAACGTAAACTCAGTACATACAAATCAACTTAGCATAAATCAAAGGTTACTGATGGACGTCAATTTCGATTCTGACCTCTGGTATTTCCTGGCCTGAATCACATAGGTTCTACTAGATTTAAATGGCCTGTCATCTTGCTGGCACTGGGAACAGGTGCATTGTCCAGCGCAAACGAAAAAAAAAAAAAAGGAGCTTTCTCTCTCTCTCTCTCTTTCTCTCTTTCTCTCTCTCTCTCTCTCTCTCTCTCTCTCTCTATTCACACGTCTCCTTTATTCGTTACAATACAGCAATAAGTGTTTGATCATTATGAAAATACTCGGTCATTCACATTACGATAAACTATATAGTATTCAGTGGACGCACGTGCTTAAGTAGACATGACTATTGATTATTTTTAAAACAGTGAAATTAACATCTACCGACCTAGATATCGAAAGTCTTAAATCAAACCCCGTATACCATTTATTCTGGGCAACGGCTCCCAATCAAGTATTCTTGGCCACTTAGTTATGAGAATCTTAGTTCCACCTGTTCAGACTAAAAAAAAAACTAAAACACTCTATCCCACGTACGTTGCAACAAATCTATTCACT